CCTGCAATAACAACCAAAACAGAATCTCCCTCGGCCCCATGTACCACCCCACCAACCTCCGGCTCCAATGCATCATCCTCCGACACTTCTGCCATCTGCAATCCGACCCCACCACCAAAGACATTTTTCCCTCCCCACCCTTATCTGCTTTCCGGAGGGACCACTCTCTCCGTGACTCCCTTGTCCGCTCCACACTCCCCTCCAGCCCCACCACACCCGGCACTTTTCCCTGCAACCGCAGGAAGTGCTACACCTGACCCTGCACCTCCCCCCTCACCCCCATCCCAGGCCCCAAGAAGACTTTCCACATCAAGCAGATGTTCACCTGCACATCTGCTAATGTGGTATACTGTATCCGCTGTTCCTGTTGTGGCCTCCTCTACATCGGGGAAACCAAGCGGAGGCTTGGGGACCGCTTTGCAGAACACCTACTCTCGGTTCGCACTAAACAACTGCACCTCCCAGTCGTGAACCATTTCAACTCCCCCTCCCATTCCTCAGACGACATGTCCATCCTGGGCCTCCTGCAGTGCCACAACGATGCCACCCGAAGGTTGCAGGAACAGCAACTCATATTCCGCTTGGGAACCCTGCAGCCCAGTGGTATCAATGTGGACTTCACAAGCTTCAAAATCTCCCATCCCCCTACCGCATCCCAAAACCAGCCCAGCTCGTCTCTGCCTCCCTAACCTGTCCTTCCTCCCACCTATCCCCTCCTCCTGCCTTAAGCCCCACCCCCATCTCCTACCTACTAACCTCATCCCACCCCCTTGACCTGTCCGTCCTCCCTCGACTGACCTATCTCCTCCCTACCTACACTCACCTTTACTGGCTCCATCCCCGCCTCTTTGACCTGTCTGTCTCCACTCCACCTATCTTCTCCTCTATCCATCTTCTATCCGCCTCCCCCTCTCTATTTCAGAACCCCCCCTTCCCCTCCCCCATTTCTGAAGGAGGGTCTAGGCCCGAAACGTCAGCCTTCCTGCTCCTCTGACGCTGTTTGGCCTGCTGTGTTCATCCAGCTCTACACCTTGTTATCGCACACTGCTATGTTACTTTGAGAGATCATCACAAAAGGTTATGAAAGAATGCAGTTCCTTAAAAGTGATCAATAGGAGACTGAAAGGGCATGGCAGTGAATTCGGAAAAACTGACTTTGCTCTGTGGAACAATGATTTAATAAGGAGTTAAGGGATACGGTGAGAACGCGGGTAAGTGGATCTGAGTCCACAAAAGGATCAGCCATAATCTTATTGAATGGCGGAGCAGGCTCAAAGGGCCAGACGGCCTACTCCTGCTCCTAGTTCTTATGTTCAATTTCAAAGTTTGAAATCAGCAGCCATTTTGTTTGACTGCAATTGAGAACTAGCTGAAAGAGCCATGGATTGTGTGGGGCTCTCAGGAGACTGCGTGATGACAGCTCCATCTACCAGCTCCAGCTGAAATGTCGGTGACCAGCATGTGAGAATTGGGTTTTCACTCCGATACCAGGAGCCACAGCAAAAAATGCTGTCTGGAAATCCTCTCTCTCTTCTGCTGAGGAGTCCAATCCAAATAGTGTTGTGTCAGCAGAACCAGAAAAAAAAAAGTGAACGGACTTTTATTGGCTCCCAAAACTGTTCCACCAACTGAGTCTAGCAAAAGAGACCTCAGAGCATTGAACTACGGAAGCCTTCACAGCTGCTGAAATCTAAATCCATGTTTTCACTTCAAGTATCAGGACTGCAAAGATCTTGAGACAGATTTTACTTTCATGAGTAACTTTCTTTTCATTAATTTTGTGTGTCTGTATTTCAGATCAGAATTTACTGCATCTTCAAGCAATAGTTGTGTAGTTAACTTTTACCTTATTTAAAGCATAAAACTGTGCTGTTTTATTTCTTAAATTGAAACACTTCAAAACTAAAAAGGGAGCAATTAAACAAACAGTATAAATTTGCAGTTCGTTGATACTTTGAGGACATGCCTGTTTGTGACAGGATGAAGTTCATATTAACACCAGACTGTGCCCTTGCGAGATGACCTATGTGTGAAGCATAACAGTGCTCAGGCTTCATAAAGCATTTTCCAAAGTGACCACATTTTAACTTACCATAACCTTTGCAAAGGCAATTAGGGAAGAGCAAAAAAATGCTGGACCTTGCCAGCAATGCCCAGATCCCTTTAGTGTACAAAAACATTCTTGAGTGTTAACATTCTCTGCAGATGCCAGCAAAAACAAAACAGCAATAAAGCAGCATGGTAACATTTAGTAAGTTAAAGTTCACATATTATAAATCAACATGGAATACTATATCATTGTATAAAGGAAAATCTGCGCTTGAAAAGTATTATCTTATTTGCTGAGATAGTAGGAACTGCCGATGCTGGACAATCTGAGATAACAAGGTGTAGAGCTGGATGAACACAGCAGGCCAAGCAGCATCAGAGGAGCAGGAAGGCTGACATTTAGGGTCTGGACCCTTCTTCAGATTCTGAAATAAATAGAGAGGGGGGGGGAGGCGGATAGAAGACGGATAAAGGAGCAGATTAGGTGGAGAGGAGACGGACAGGTCAAAGAGGCGGGGATGGAGCCAGTAGAGGTGAGTGTAGGTGGGGAGGTAGGGAGGGGATAGGTCAGTCCAGGGAGGACTAACAGGTCAAGGAGGCGGGATGAGGTTAGTAGGTAGGAGGAGGGGATAGGTGGGAGGAAGGATGGAAAGGTTAGGGAGGCAGAGACGAGCTGGGCTGGTTTTGGGATGTGGTCAGGGGAGGGGAGATTTTGAAGCTTGTGAAGTCCACATTGATACCATTGAGCTGCAGGGTTCCCAAGCGGAATATGAGTTGCTGTTCCTGCAACCTTCGGGTGGCATCGCTGTGGCACTGCAGGAGGCCTAGGATGGACATGTCGTCTGAGGAATGGGAGGGGGAGTTGAAATGGTTCGCGACTGGGAGGTGCAGTTCTTTAGTGCGAACCGAGCGTAAGTGTTCTGCAAAGCGGTCCCCAAGCCTCCGCTTGGTTTCCCCGATGTAGAGGAGGCCACAACAGGAACAGCAGATACAGTATACCACATTAGCAGATGTGCAGGTGAACATCTGCTTGATGTGGAAGGTTTCCTTGGGGCCTGGGATGGGGGTGAGGGGGGAGGTGCAGGGGCAGGTGTAGCACTTCCTGCGGTTGCAGGGAAAAAGTGCCGGGTGTGGTGGGGCTGGAGGGGAGTGTGGAGCGGACGAGGGAGTCATAGAGAGAGTGGTCCCTCCAGAAGGCAGATAAGGGTGGGGAGGGAAAAATGTCTTTGGTAGTGGGGTCAGATTGCAGAAGGCGGAAGTGCCGGAGGATGATGCGTTGGATCCAGAGGTTGGTGGGGTGGTATGTAAGGACAAGGGGGCTTCTATTTTGGTTGTTATTGCGGGGAGGGGGTGTGAGGGATGAGTTGCGGGAAATGCGAGAGAAGCAGTCAAGGGGGTTTTCGACCACTGTGGAGGGGAAGTTGCGGTCCTTGAAAAACGAGGACATCTGGGATGTCCGGGAGTGGAATGCCTCATCTTGGGAGCAGATGCGGCAGAGGCGAAGGAACTGGGAATAGGGGATGGCCTTTTTGCCGGAAGGTGGGTGAGAGGAGGTGTATTCTAGGCAGCTGTGGGAGTCGGTAGGCTTGAAATGGATATCGGTTTCCAGGTGGTTGCCAGAGATGGAAACAGAGGTCCAGGAAGGAGAAAGAGGTGTCAGAGATGGTCCAGGTGAATTTAAGGTTGGGGTGGAAGGTGTTGGTGAAGTGGATGAACTGTTCGAGCTCCTCGTGGAAGCAGCGCCGATACAGTCATCGATATAACAGAGGAAGAGGTGGGGTATAGGGCCAGTGTAGCTTCGGAAAAGGGACTGTTCCACGTATCCTACAAAGAGGCAGGCAAACTTGGGCCCATGCGGGTACCCATGGCCACCCCCTTTGTCTGTAGGGGGTGGGAGGAATTGAAGGAGAAGTTGTTCAGGGTGAGGATGAGTTCAGCTAAGTGGATAAGGGTGTCAGTGGAGGGGGACTGGTCGGGCCTGCAGGACAGGAAGAAGCAGAGGGCCTTTAGGCCATCTGCATGGGGAATGCAAGTGTATAGGGACTGGACATCCATGGTAAAGATGAGGTGTTGGGGACTCGGGAATCAGGTGACCTCCCACCCACAGCCTCCAACCTCATCGTTCCCCAACCCCGCACCGCCCGCTTCTATCTCCTTCCCAAAATCCACAAACCTGACTGCCCTGGTCGACCCATTGTCTCCACCTGCTCCTGCCCCACCGAACTTATCTCCACTTATCTCGACTCCATTTTCTCCCCCTTCGTCCAGGAACTCCCCACCTACGTCCGTGACACCACCCACGCCCTACACCTCCTCCAAATCTTCCGATTTCCAGGGTCATATCCTCAGATAAAAATAAGCAAGGCTTACCATGTTTCATTCACAATATACACAATATGTCAACTTATCAGACAAACAGCCTACACTATAAAAAAGATGTTTCAAGTAAAATTTTTGACATCAATTGTCCAATAAACTGAGGTAGTGAAGGTCTTGTGATGGAGTGGGAACATCCCTGCCTCCGAGCTGACCCACTCCAGGACTTGATGGTCAAGGAAGGAGTGTTCAAACCTTTTAACATCCACCAACACCACCACAGCAGGTGAGTTTCCTGGTTAGCCAGGAGACGGAAAGAAAAATCGGTGCCTCAAACATCACTCTCCATTACTCCAGACTACAACATACACATGAAAGGGAATATTCCCTCAGCAATTTGGACTTCTCTGGGGATGGCGCAGTTGGACGGTTCCCCAATGTAGATTGGTGCCAAGGAGGCGGGGTTGGGGGAAGTTGTTGAATTTGAGCTGCCTCCTTGCCCAACCCCCCAGTGGACCCACTCCCCTTTTGACAGAGAGCTGAACAAGGAACAGAGGCAGATATAAAGTGAAAATAGCAGCTTGTACATCAGATAGAGGTGGTCTCGACTTTAATACCAGTTTGGTTGTACATACCACATCAGGTTTCAGCTGGAACACCAGTGGGATGGAATACAGCAGCGAGTATACTGTACTTATCACCGAAGACGTCCAGGACTGACAGACCTCACGGCTACGAGGAATCCAGTGAATAGTATGCTGAAAGACAAATGGGAGATGGAAGTCATGCTGAGGAAGATTTTTAGCAGAAGGTACTGCCAGATCCTGCCAGACAAGGCTGAATGTAATTTACTTCAATTACTGTGACAAGATTTGTGTAAAAATCTTGAAATGGACCAGAACGTAGTATTTTCTGGCACATTTCAACCCAAACTAAGTAGCATAAACATTCAAACAACATCATTATCCCGGTTTCTCCTCAACATCATTTAGCAGGTCCCTTCCTACAGTTCACTCCAACTTTTCCTTGATCCCAGTTTCATACAAGTTTTCAAAGCTCAGTTCATACTTTTCATAAACTCAAGACGCCTCAAAGCTCTTTACAGCCAATTAAATACCTGATTAGTGCAGGAACATGGAGGTTGGTTCATACACAGCAAGATTCCACAGTAGCGATGAGGATGGAGCATTGAGTGATAAATATTATTCAGACCATGGGGAGAACCCTTCTTTGAAATTTGCTGGGATCTCCTATGTCCATTTAAGAATATCTCATCTAAAAGGTGACGCCTATTAAAGGATTTATTAGGTATTGATGACATGAATAAGTGACAGTGCAGGAAAATAGTTCCAATGTACATAATCAGAACATGATCTAGAATGGCAGAGCAGGTTCAAGGGGCCGAATGGCCTGATCCAGCTTGTATAGCAGAGAGCTCACACTCAGATTTATGCAGTGGGTTTTGAACTAGCCTCGAGATTCAGGTGAGAGATGATGCTACTGGAGAACAAGCTGAGTCATGGGTGACACTGGACAACATATCATGCAGACTGACACTTAACTGTGATCTGATTCTTATTGTTAATCGGATTTCTGTTAAACTGAAAGTAATTCCCACAGCTCAGACACTCTGACAAGATCCTTTCACTGTTCAGCATGTGGATATGCCACCTATGCTCTTGACTCGCTAACTCAGCCTGGAATTTATTTTATCACCCAGCCCTCACTGCTCTCTTGGATACAGAATTCCAAAGATTTACAAGCCTTGGAAGAAATTCCTCATCTCTGCCTTCAATGAGAAATCTCACTTCTAATTTGAGCCCCCTAATCGAGACTTCCTTCCAAGGGAAAGCATCGTCCCAACATCCACCCTGTCAAAACCCCTCAGAATCTTGTGATTCAGTAAGATCTGCTAAGACCACCTCTCAGTCTTGCAAACTGCAATGAGTTTAGGCCCAACATATTCAACCTTTCCTCATGTAATAACCTATTCATCCCAGGAATAGCCAAGTGAACCTTCTCAGAACTGCTTCCAACACAAATATATCCCTTCTTATGCAAAGAGACCAAAAGTATACACAGTGTGCCAGATGCAGACTCACCAAGGTCTGTACAGCTCTTGCAAAGCCTCAGTAAGAGAAGGGCCTGTTTCCACACTGTAGGATTCTATGATTTTATCGGTGTGGACTTGTTGGGCCAAAGGGCCTGTTTCCACACTGTAGGGATTCTATGATGATAACAGCTAGGAGCAGGAGTAGGCTATTCAGCACCCCCGAACCCCCGAGCCTGCTCTGCCATTTGATTTCATTTTGGCCACAACTCCACTTTTATTCCTGCTTCCCATATTCCTTGAACATTTTATTAATTAAAAATCTGTCTCTCCCCTTAAACTTACTCAATGTTCCTACTACACTAGCGAATATCACAGATTCACGACTCAGAGCAGTAATTTCTCCTCATCTGTTTTAAATCTGCTGCTCCTCATCCTGAAACTATGGCCTCTTGTACTAGATTGCTCCACAACAGAAAACATCATCTCTATGTCAACTTTTCTTTTAAATTCCACCCACCTTGGAAAATTGACCAAAATTTCACTTGCCATCCTAATTATTTGCCATAAATGTATGCTAGACCTTTTGTAATTAATGTACAAGCATATCTAGCTCTCTCCATGCTGTAACATTCTGCAGTATCTGTCCTTTTAGACAATATTCTGCTTTTCTATTCTTCTACCAAAGTGGACAACCTAGCATTTTCCCACATTATACTCCAGCTGCAAAGTTCCTGCATACTCAGAACCTTCCTACATCGCTATGGAGATACTTTGTGTCCTCTCGTACAACTTGTTTTCCTTCCAGTTTTTGCCTCAGCAGCAAGTGTGCCTTCAGTACACTCTGTCCCTTCAAAGTCATTGATGTAACTTGTGAATAGTTGAGGCCCAGCACAGATCTCTGTGGCACTCCACTTAGTAGTTATTTCCAGTTAACTAGCTGAGTTTTTTTTTGTCAACTGTTGCTATTGAAAAGAGCTGGTGTGTACACACGTGTGCATGTGTATGCCAGATACAGGGTTGAGCTGCAATGCTCCCTCAATGGTCAAATAACTGGTTACAAACATCTAACAGATAGATAACGGCCATTGGGGTGAATGCAGTGCTGGCTGCTATGTTACCTTGATATCCTGCTCCAGCATGAGTCAGCAAGGAGGAAGGAGATGAATATTACCCTAGATGCTTACAGTCTTATCCCATATGAAGCATCTCTAAAGAGAAGTAACAGTAATAGGAGGAGGATAAAATACAGACTTTCAGGTTTCATCATTTAGTAAAGCCATCACTAATGTTCCAATTTAAGCGTGAGGTTGTCAACTCTGCGTCTTCCTAGTGGTTTTATCACACAACCTCCAGCCAGGAGCCAGCCTTTCCATCCTGGTGATGCACTGCATTCCCACACCAATGGAAATCAAAATACTCATCATCCAATTGGATGATGCTCAACCATTGGTCAAGCAGCCTTTTCCCCACGGCAACCCCTAATTTCATACCTAGTGAGGAGACACAAAGAAAATTATGTCTTAAACGTTATTTTTAAAAGTCTCCTGTGATTTTTCTCCAATATTGTTTTGGAGATTGATCTTCAATTCCCGAGACTCCAGGCCGATCTCGGAGAGTTGGACAAGTTACACAATCTCCAGTTTCTAGCTCGTAAACCACCTCCCTCATTTCCTCCACCTCTGTTCACCTACTTCATCACCCACCCTCCTTATCTATATTATTTGTAAGCCATACCTCAAAGATAACGTTGCAGTGCCTAACCTCGATTTTTAAATACAGGACAATGTTAACCACAACAAAAGCTTTCATTTTACCCTGGTGCCCTTGTTTAACACATACTAGTGAGATGATCACTTGTGGTTGTTCAATAAAGGTGATACAGAACTGAATGTGGGGAAGCAGCAGCCTAATACTTATTCCCAACTTGGAAAGTCCACTCTCACTACACGAGAAGTGTGTGAGACAATCAGATTACATCATTAACTAAACTGCGCAGCACAGTTGAATTTCTCCTGCCTTTATTCAAATGTAATGCTACTTCTTGACAGCCCTTTAATTTTTATGCCTATTTTTCCTCTTTTCTGTTAATTTGAAGAGTTTTGCAATCTTGGGCTCTCTCAAGACTTGGATGTTTCATAGAATCCCTACAGTGTGGAAGCAGGCTATTCAGCCCATTGAGTCTACACTGACCCTCTGAAGAGCATCCCCCTACCCTATCCCTGTAACCCTGCATTTCCCATGGCTAATCCACCCTAATCTGCACATCTTTGGATAGTGGGAGGAAACCAGAACACCTGGAGGAAACCCGCGCAGAGAACTGGGAGAACGTGCAAACTCCACACAGACAGCCGTCTGAGGCTGGAATCGAAACCAGGACCCTGGCGCTGTGTGTCAGCAGTGCTACCCGCTGAGCCACCGTGCCAGAGGCTCACACGTGGAGCACCTCCCATCATCAAGGATACCGTTGCTCTGGATCTCATCTTTCGATGCTAAGCACTGAGTACACAGAACTATCAGAGACACGGATATTGGGAAATAGTATAACAGACCCCAGTGTTTCCTGATCTCTCCGGAATCAGCTGAAAATAATAGGAGAACAGATTGGTTTACAGGGTGAAAGAAGCATTCATTTATACACAGTGACCAAATAATTCTGAAAAGATGTTCTTGAAGTAACCTTTGTAACTTGTATTACACATTCCCAATCAAAGCCTTGGCCAAGACATTTCCTTCACAGAATTATGGTAGTCACCAGCTTGTATTGTCATTCAGCAAAACCAGCACATGCTAACAATCCACTTACTGGTTGTCTCTTCCCCCTAATCTAGGCTGCTGCTACAAAGCAAAGACAGATAGATATAATTTGCCATTCACAACCAAAATAGACGTTAATGTCACTGGGATAAACTGAACAAAAACAGACCACTGACAATGTAGTGGCCAGTATCGAACAGTTTCATACCTCCCAACATTTGCTGAGCAATTTGAAGCTGCACACAATGAACACCATACCCGTGACCAGAATAGAGAAACATGGGTTCATTTCCCTGTACACACAGCTGGAAACTGCACTGCCAGCAATGTGTGGGATTGATTTTATCTCTGATTTGTATTGTGTATCTATCTCTTTTCCATTCACTGTGGGCTGTTGGAGAAATCCAATTCTCATCAGATGTTGCAGCAGTTTCAGTGATGAGTTCTATTATCTGCAGCTCCTGGAGACTCTGTTATACGGTTTACCTTTCAAGAGACCAAGTTTGACGGATGCGTGCCGGCAGCACACATGGAACTCAGTTGCTCCATTGTGTTTGTTTTAGAAACTTGAATGTGTTTCACTATTTTAAACAAACCAAGCTGCACTGTTAATCAATCCCTGAGGAGTGATCGATTCTTAGACCAATATCATCAACACGACATGGTACCAGCAGTGGACTTTGTTAATTGTTCCAAAGTTTTGAGACAGCAATGTCAAGGATCCATTTTTGTGGGGCTGTTTAAACTGAATGCTGAAAGCAGAACTGATTTGGACTCAAAAAAAAACGCTGCTTTAGAAGCCAAAATGAATCAGTCAGACAAGGAAAATATATTGGGGCCTGAAAATACATTTACTAAAAGATGGAAACTTTAACAAAAAAAAACACAGAAAAATCCCACAGTAGCCATTTTGAGAAGAGCAAAAAACACAAATCCTTCATGCTGTTTTAA